GGGCTGAGGCACTTACATATGCGAGCCACCTCATTAATAGGCTGCCTTCATCTGTAATTGAGAGGAAAACCCCTATGGAGAAGTGGTCGGGAGAGCCAACACGAGATTATGACCAGCTCAAGGTATTTGGGTGCCCTGCATATTATCATGTGAGAACTGATAAGTTGGAACCTCGAGCTAGGAAGGCCATATTTGTAGGATTCAAGCGTGGTGATAAGGGATACAAGCTTTGGGATCCAGTTGATAAGAAGATTGTGCTGAGTAAGGACGTCACATTCGATGAGGCTTCTATCTTGAAGCTTCCCAGCTCTCATCAGGTGGAGAGCGACCCGACGGAAGAGATATCGCAAGTGATGGAGATCGATGCAGCTCCACATTATCCAGATGGTATAGTATCCATTAGAGTGCCGATTGAGGTGATGCCAGACGAGCACGACGATGACACGGAGGATACGGGTACTAATGTGCAGGATCAGGGACCGACGGCTCAGGTTCAGGATTCGATTGCGGTTCGGAGACAGAGGAGAAACATACAGATGCCAGCACGGTATGCCGACACAGTTGTGTATGCACTTACCGTGGAGAGTATCGATGAGATGGTGCCTACTACATTCAGAGAGGCCGAGCAGAGTTCGGAGGTTGACTCGTGGCAGGTGGCTATGTAGGAGGAGATGGAGTCTCTTCATAAGAACGATACATGGGAGCTTGTTGAGCTTCCAAAAGGGCGGAAGGCAATTGGTTGCAAGTGGGTATACACGAGGAACGGGGGGATTGAGGGCACTCCATTGAGGTTCAAAGCTAGGTTGGTTGCGAAGGGCTATGCACAGGAGGAAGGAATAGATTATAATGAGGTTTTCTCTCCGGTGGTGAAGCACTCTTCGATTCGGATTTTGCTAGCTTTGGTGGCACAGTATGGTTTAGAGTTAGATCAGTTGGATGTGAAGACGGCATTTCTTCATGGTGATCTTGATGAAGAAATATGATAAATTGGTTTGCAGATTGAAGAAATCGCTATACGGTTTGAAGTAGTCTCCTCGACAGTGGTATAGACGATTCGATAGTTTTATGATTGGTCATTCGTACACTCGGAGCCAGTTTGATCCTTGCGTATATTTTCACAAGTTAAAAGGAGGTGTGTACATTTATTTGTTGCTCTATGTCGATGACATGTTAGTTGCCTCTATTTCCAGGTCGGCTATAGATGAGTTGAAAGTTCAGCTTTCAAAGAAGTTTGAGATGAAGGATTTGGGTGAGGCGAAGCGCATTTTAGGGATGGAGATCGGCAGAGACAAGAAGAAGGGCAAAATTTGTTTGACACGGGGTGGCTTATTTGAAAAAGGTTCTACAGCGATTCCATGTTAGCATGGATACGAAGCCAGTTGGTGTACCTTTGGGAGCCTATTTGAAGCTTTCAGCTGGTCTTTCACCGAAGACAATTGAAGACCGAGAGTTGATGTCGAAGACTCCATATGCAAGCGCGGTTGAGAGCTTGATGTATGCGATGGTATGTACGAGGCCAGATTTGTCACAGACGGTGAGCATGGTTTCGAGATACATGCACGATCCAGGAGTGGGTCATTGGGACGCCGTGAGATGGATTTTGAGGTACATTCGAGGTACGCTCAATGTTGGTTTGGTTTATGAGCGGGACACTACAGGTGGGTAGCTATGCATTGGTTATGTTGATTCGGATTATGCCGGGGATTTAGATAAGCGCCGGTCTACTACATGGTATGTGTTTACTTTGACCCGTGCGTAGGTGTGTTGGAGATGCACCTTACAGTCGACGGTGGCTTTGTCTACGACGGAGGCAGAGTATATGGCGCTTACGGAGGCTGTGAAGGAGGCTATTTGGCTTCGAGGACTTTTGGAGGAACTTGGTATATCGCAGAGGTCTGTCACTATTCATTGTGATAGCATAAGTGCTATCTATTTGGCGAAGAATCAGGTTTTTCATGCGAGGACGAAGCACATTGACGTTCGTTATCACTTCGTTCGGGATGTTCTTGAAGATGGCGATGTGGAAATTGTGAAGGTCCACACGAAGGATAATCCGGTGGATATGCTCACTAAGGTGGTTCCGAGTAACAAGTTTGATTATTGTCGAAACTTGTTGCACATTCGTGATTGTTGAGGCCGTTGGCGGCCATTTGGATGAACTACAAGAGGCTTGATTCCTTGGGCAAGAGGATACGTAGGCAGTCATGTTTGATGCAGCCGGTGTGGATTAGTTGATGGGGGTGAGATTGTTTGAGCTCTCGTTCGGGTTCCCGACTTGTTGTCGAATGAGTGGGACATTTGGTTGCTTTGGTGTCGGCTCAGTTTTGGAAGAAACTTCACCGAGGTGGAGAATTGTGAATGATTAGAGGGAAACGCGTCTTCACGTGGGGAGAAGTTTGTTCACGTGGCCTCGGGCCCACTCGAAACAAAGATGGAGATGTGAAGCGGTTTTTTTTATTCCCTGGACCCGACTTCCGCAGCACAGCTTATAAATAGCAAAGTTTAATTGCTAGGTTTTTTTGTGCAAGCGCAGGAGGTTGGTTTTGTTTTCGGCGGCTGGGTGTGTTTTGCGACTGCGGGATAAAATCGCTGCAGGAGAAAATTGCCAGCGGCAGAAGAAAAGAATTGCGGTTGCTTTGAGGAGATTTTGAGCAGTCTTTTGTGTCGAATTTGAGAGGGTTTTTTGTACTCTTTTGAGAGAGATATTTGTATGAGGGATTAGAGAGTTTGTGTGAGGGTTTAGATTGAGTGATTGTAAACCCTAGTTGTATTCTCTCCCTCTATTAGTAGATCTTCCCCCTCCTTGCCCCGTGGACGTAGGCAATTTGCCGAACCACGTAAAAATTGGTTGTACTGCTATTTGTATGATTTGTAATAGCTTTTAGGATCCCTCGACAGTTCAGTCCTAGAACTGATGAGAGGAAGAGCCGATATCTCACTTTGTTGAGATATTCGCTTCAGATTCTTGTTTCCTTGGTGAGACGAGAATTCTTATTGTAACCTGACTCTCTTGTTGTGCTGCCGAAATTTTCGCTGCGCGCAACGAATATAATTTTTAATTTTAAGCATACAATAATCAAATTAGATGTATTAAAATTTAAATGAAGACAAGTTTAAAATGTAGTGTTTTAAAAAAACAAGGGGCTGTGTTTTGCACGGCGTGGACACTAGTATTCAATAATACTAAGTCTATATACCAATGCAATATCTCAAATTATAATGAAGTTCAAATTCCATCACTTTTTGAATGTAGAGCTCAACTGCAGCAACATTTTCCGAGGAGAACAAAATAACAAATAGATTAGACTCATGACAATTTATAGAGAGACAAGATCCCCTTGGCCTTATTTAGGTAAAGAGAACATGAGAGTCAACATCATTGTCTCACACCTAAGTAGGTGATCATTATATAATAATCTCGAGTGCGCATCATGCAAAAGTGAGAGTAGAAAAGAGTAAATTGTGATTAGATAAAATATAATAAGACATTGAGGCTTGTCATCTTCCCCTCAGCAAGCTTTGTCCGTAGCTAGTTCAGGCGTAAATGTCTCTAGCAATACTCTCACGCAAGAACCACCCAAAGTTTAAAATGCCAGCACAGCAACACTTTTGTCCTCGTTGAAGAAAATAGAATCTATGATAGATTCAAATTTTTGAAGGGTTAATTGCATATTAGTCCTTCACATCATCTTTAATTGCCTACCAGTCCCTCAAAACTCATTATTTGTTTCTTAGTCCCTTAAATCTTCAGTTTTCTTGCCCATCTGTCTATCTTGTTAGGCGGCCGGGGTTAATAATGAGGGTTGGATGTAACGGAATTAGATAGAATACTCATTATACCCCCCACCCATAATAACTAACTTCCAATTATAACTCCACCTACATATTTCATGACAGGTTTAAACTCAAAACTCGTTCCCTCTAAAACCCAACCCCACTCTAACAGTCTCCTTCTTCCCCAAACCTAAAACTGAGATTATTCCAACGACTAGATTCCCTCTAAAATCCTTTAAAATCTTTAAAAGTTTGCAATATAATCCATATCTCTTCATTCTGAGGGGTAATAAGATAATTTGAAATGTTGGGTCCATGCTTAACTCACCTAGAGTTAGAGGAGTTAACAGATTTTCTAATAGTAGAACTGTATTGCAAGAAAACTGAAGATTTAAGGGACAAATAAGCAAATAATGATATTTGAAGGACTACGTCACAATTAAAGACAATTTAAGTGACTAGTATGCAATTAACCCAATTTTGACCTGCACATAAAAATACAAGCATTGCAGCTTTATGGGATTTGGCAAACGATTTACAAAGCACTTGCGGTCAAACAGGTAGCTCCAAAACTCGTCTCCACTATCAAGATTAAATGATTTTGCCATGGCCCGGCTCTCCTAGCATGTACAGTTGTACACATTACACGTTGAAAATCTTGATTGAGGAAAAAAATAAAAATAAATAATAATAGAGATTGCTTGAAGTAAAAAGAACATTAAACATATTCCCGTAATATTGGGATCCTCTACTAACGCATAGTGTTCCTAATATCTCCTAATAAATAGACCTTAGCCTTTGATTTATCAATCAAAGGCCAAGATCTCATCCTTACCCTCCCTTTACTTTTGCTCATGAGAAGATCTTGGACTTTGATTGATAAATCAAAGGCTAAGGTCTCTTTATTATGAGATATTAGGAACCTCCTCATTAGTAGAGGATCCCAATCCATTTCCGTATCAATTCTAAATCAATAATTTCTATAAAATCTTTATAATTCAATATGATTATAATCACTATTAAATAATGAGACGCGCATCATGCTTTACTTCCTGACACAGGAGGCCCTCCATGGGATTTCTTCATCTCCATTCACCAAACAAATTTGAACTCGATTGATTAAAAGGTCAACCACAATAAAACAAACGAATAAATCAATTCAACCAATGGCCAAAAAGAAAAGAACAGACTGAAGCTCTGAACTCAAGCACGCGGGAAAACAAATGGAAGAAGAATGAAGAGAAGACCACATTATTGCACATTGCCTTATCTTGCAAGTAAAATTAACATCTTCCTCATCCATCCACGCTTTAGAAAAAATGTCACCTCCATACTTTCTCCTCCATCCTCCTTTCTACCTTACCTTTTTTTACATCCGTATATAGTAAACAACATTAAGAAAAAAGGGTGGAAAACGAAAGAAAATTACACCACTGAGCTTTAGCACCACATAAAAACAAAGTTACATCCAAGTTACACCCTGTGGACTCGATCTCGCTCGAACCTCCGCTAATGAAACAGCCATAGCGAGCATCATTTGCTCTTCAAAGCTCTCAGGAATAAGATGAGCAGAAGTCATATTGGCACCATCATCACTAACTGAAGTTGAAGGGCCTGCTATTTCCACTGCAGCAACCTCTGAGCCTGCATAGCTTGTTCCCGCTTCTGCAATCTCTGAACCATGATCTTCCACCGACCACTCACTCTCCTCTTCTCCTGTTACTGCTCTCCCACTCTCTGGTGAGACTTCGATCCATCTCTTGGATGGGTATTTTCGAATTGATCTTTCTTCTCTTGAGGTTAGAGTAGTTGAATGCTGTAATGTGTGGTCAAAGACTGGGTTGCTGCTTTCAGCTGTGTTGGATGAGTCCTCACCCATGTGCTGACGTTCGGCTAAGGCAGCAACGGTGCATGCAAGACCACCGGATGGAGAAGCTTCCATTGGGTTTCTTGAACCTCCGCCCTCCTGCTACGAGAAAGGTTGGTCAGAAAAATGTGTATACAAAAGACTACGTTGAGAAAACTTATGGTGTCCTTTATAGTTGATATGACGAGAACATAAAATGAAAATGCTTTCTGTTAGCTGTGAACAAAAGGTTGTGCAATTATCGGTGAGCTCCACATCTGAAGACAACCCTTCGTGCATTTTTCTATAATGTCTGCGTCTGATGGCTCCTAACTGAAGTCGAGACATTCGTTGAGCAATTCTTGGATTGACTTTTCCTCCCGGGGAAAAGTCGGGATTTGAGTCACTTGAATGCCGCTTAGACTTTCATTTATCAGCCATGTTGATGATAACTTCAGGGAAATCGTCATTTTGAACAGCTGATCTTCTCTTGCGGAAGCGTCTTAGCTTGGGCTTCAACGTTTCGGTGGAAAGTCTCTGGAACACCAAGACTCTTTGTGGAATGGTTTCTCGCTTAGAGCAATCACATTCCGACAATACTGCTCTAATGAGTTGCTCACGAGAACAATGAGAGCTCATCTCTTGGACAATCCTCTTTTGAGATTTGTTTACACCCCCAGCTTGATAGTACAACTCATCGGTATGATTGCCGGAGCACTGTATCGTCTGTTGGTGTGACCTCTTAGGTATAACGTTGTCTTTTGACGGACACTTCTTCTTCTGAGAATGTAAAGCCTTGTTGGCATTCTCTGAAGTCGCATGTTTAGAACCACTCATTTGCGAGTGTGGAGTCTTAACGGGCTCTTGGACTTCGACACGCACCCCCAATCGAGCGGTGACGGGAATTCTCCTGCGCACGACGCGCGAACAAGTACACTGAGGTGTCCCGGTTTGTTTGGAGGCGGCGGGACACTCTTGCGCGGCGGTTGGCTTAATGTGAGATTGTGCACGACCCCCCAGTCTGAGAGGCTACTTGGGTTTTAATCATCAGTTTCAAGCGCTCTCTCATCGGTGCTTTGCCTCGATCTACGCGTCGAGGATCAAAGCGATTTGCAACCGTGATTTCAAACTTGGAAAGGTCAGGACTGACCCAAGGCTTTACTGGATGCAAGGTGGGAGTAACTGTGGAGGCTGGACCTGGAACGAACGTCGACGGAGGCGAAGAAGCGGCCGCGGGAGTTCCTGTTTGGGCGAGACAGGGGGAAGTGTCTCGGTTGAAGGAGTTTGCGAGACAGCTGGGACTGTCTCGGCTGAAGGAATTTGCGAGACAGCCGGGACTATCTCGGTTGAAAGATACATTTCCTACTGTCTCCGAACTTGGTTTTTGCACAAGTTCAGATTTTGGAACCCAAATTTTTCGGGACTTTGGTGGTTCTTTGACCATCTCCTCCTTCACAAGAACGTGAGTGTGTGCGACACGTGTACGACGTTTTTTGATGCACTCTTCCTTCGTCGAACGAGTCCTCTTGACAAGAACCCACTCTTCGGTCAATGACTTGGGGGACGTCTCAGAAACTTGATGTTGACGTGATTCAGTTGCACGACGCATCCTAAACTCCAAGTTCACGTAGTATTGAACTTCATCGACCTGTTCCAATGCCTTAGCGAGCTGACGAGCGAGATGTTGGCGTTGTTTCTGACGAGCCCTCTTCGTCAGAGCTGACGAACTTCGATCAAACGACTCCTTAACTGGGGAGGAATCATCGTGAGCAGAACTTTCGGCTTTGGGGGCCGCCGGTATAATGTTACGAGGGGAGGCCTCAACAACAATTGGGCGAGAGCCTTCACCTTGAGCCTTCTTTGGCGTGTAAGCCTTCTTTAATGGTGAGATCCTCCTGCACTTGCGGGGAGAAGAAGATTTTGATGAAGACGAGAAGAGATTCCTCAAACTTAGTTTGGTCGAACTCGTACTCGGCCGTTGAATCAATCGGGATCTTGATCGGTTGCGACACGACGGTCTCGGCAGCGAGACCGTTGGCTCTCACTGTGATCGTCAGCGTGTTTGCGTCGGGAACAAATTTTATTATAGAATTCATTATAACTGTTTATCAATTACAATTAATACAAAAGAGTGAGCCTTTATGCTTTGTAAAACTACTCTTTACAACAAAGCAATATTACAAGAGCTCCCTAAAAACACACGCAGGAACGTTTATCGTTTGCTGCTTGCGTGAGATCTTTACATGTGTCGGGGGTGCGTTAGCTCGTGGACGACCGAATCACAGATCCAAATTGAATCGTGAAGAAGGCTTAAGGTCGATGTTTCGTTTTAGAAACAAAGACAGAAGTGGATATCATAGCAAAGTAAGATAAAAAAATCTTCCCAATATCAAGTCAAAGCTTAGATCTCGAGGAAACACCGAAGGTTCTTGGAAGTGCTTGAAAACAGTGAAGACTCTCTTGCCCAAGATTCACCAAATAGCTCCACTCTATGCTCTCTCTGCCTTGGTCCTTGATTGGTTCCATGCATATAGGTGTTAGGGAAGTATTTATAGCCCCTAGAAGCTATAACTGAAGGTTGAAGTCGAAAAGGAATCATGTCAAAGGACTCCTATTTTCGAGACAATCGCAACTGTATCGGAAGCATGGCTTTCTTTTGGCAGTTTCATAACCGTTCCCACCATATTTAATTGTCATTATTTCTGTAGTTATGGGCGTGATTTTCGCTTGTAATGGCTCCCCCACGTTTTTTGGATAATTCCCAGTAGTTATTAAGCTACGTGGATTGCACAAAACCGTCGCTAAGCCCACTCTAGTTTCCGAGACAGTGAAACAATGAGTTGTCTCATAGCTTCTGAGACAGTCGCCATTGTCTCGGAAACTATGAATTGTCTCATGGTTTTCGAGACACGTTTTGTGCCTCGAAACTTGTGTGATGCGCTTCTCGGGCATTCCTCAGTTGACCTTTGAGTTGAAGAGATTCATTGACTTTTGTCAAAGCGTTGCAAAGATCGTTGAATCTTCCCTTTAGTTCCTTACAATATTGGGAGTAGACTGACGAGATAGGAAGCTTTCGAGTCGACTCAAGGCGTGTCGACTGACACCGCCTTTCGAGTCGGCACGAAGGGACTTGGCTTCGGAGGTTGGTCTTTTGCCGAGACACTTGCTAGTGTCTCGGACGAGACACTGGCAAGTGTCTCGGAATTCGAGTCAACTATCGTCGTCTTTCGAGTCAGCATGGAGAAGGTCTCGTCTTAGGTATCGTCTCGAGATGTTGACTTCTATCGGCCTTCGAGTCGACACATGAGGTGTCGTCTCAATTCACCATTCGGGTCGACATAGGAGTTGTCGTCTCATCTGGTCTACATTGATCTCGTCTCGACTTCGAACTGTCGTCTCGTCTCGATCTCGTCTCGGACCGTCTCTCGAGTCGACATTGATCTCATCTCGACTTCGAACTGTTGCTCGTCTCGGACTTCGAGTCGGCTATCACCGCCTCTCGAGTTGACACGAAGGGATCTTGTCTAGGACTTCGAATTGATTACCAACGCCTTTCAAGTCGACACGAAGGAGATCTTGTCTCGGGTCTCGGCTTGGACTTCAAGACAACTACCAACGCCTTTCGAGTCAACATGAAGGGGGTCTCGTCTAAGGTATCGTCTCGAGATGTTGACTTCTATCGGCCTTCGAGTCGACAGCGTGAAACCGAACCTTCGAAGAGTCGACACCAGAAAGGAGAATCTCCGTCTCGGTCTCAGAGCTCGGGACTTACGAGTCGACTACCAACAGGTCTTTTCGAAGTTGACATGGGAGGTGTTCGGAACGTCGCCGCTTTCGAGTCGACACGAGAGGTGTCGTCTCATCTAATCAAGATGTCAGCTACCTTTCGAGTCGACACAGGAGGTGTCGTCTCGTCTGGTTGAGACGTCGGCTACCTTTCGAGTCGACACAGGAGGTGTCGTCTCTTCTGGTTGATTGAGACATCGACCTTTACTTGGTTTGTAGGGGTCGTCGGATTGGGATTCCGATTGTTGATTTGGATCCTTAGTTGATCTTTGGCATCGGATGAATTTCTGTAACTCAGATGATGATGTTTATCGCCTTCCTTTCAACTTGAGCTATGTGTGATACCCTATAGGCAATTTTTGACGCCTACAATCATACGGTCCAAACTGCCATTTATGTCTTGACACAAATCATGAATGCAGAAAAGGTATGCATCAATTTATGCACATGCATACAAGTTGAAACTAGACTTTGTACCCTGCACACATGGTAATAGTCTAGAAAAGGAGACAAAATCGACAATAAAGGAAACCATGAGAAGACCAATAATTATCAAAGTGGATGGGAATGAGACACCTCACTACCAAGCACAAAATTTGTGCTTGGTACCAAGCATACCCATTTCTATATATATATATATATTTCTTTTCTAGCTACTAGCAAATAAGATATTAAACTAAAATACCACTAGAAGCCTTCTTGAAGAGAAACATTACAACTACCTCAAAAATGGCAAAGGTCATACATTGTCCTTCATGTTTACAGCTACATCACCTATTGAGCTAAAGTCTAAAACCCTAACTATATCAGTATATTAAGAGAATCTCTGCTGGACCAGATAGTGGACACTGTACAGTTCCATTTCAGGCAAGTATGGAAATTGCATCACACTGTTTCTGCACATTTCACTTCAGACAAGCACGCCATTACTTTACACTGTTGACTACTTATGTTGTTATGTAGGATAAATACCTAATTCTTAAGCCACATCGAAAATTATTCAAGTATCGTGAAGCGCAACTTGGTCATTTGTGTGTAGACACTTGACACTCGACAAAATTCACGAAAACATGGAAAGGCAAAAATCAAGGTTGTCCGTGTCGCAACTAGACTTCCATTCTCTATATCTGGTCTAGAAAAGGAGGTAAAACGAAAATAAAAGAAACCATGAGATTGCAATTCTTCACTCCAAAGTACATATTATTATCTCTAACTACTAGCCGTGCAAAAAATTATATCAAACTAGGACAAGATATTCAACTAAAGTACCATAACAAAGGTTTATTGGATGAGAAACAATAAAGCCACATCTGAAGTTGGCAAAAGAGGCACAT